ACATGGCATAGCTGAGTCTCATTTAATGCTCGTTGTGTCTTATCACACTGTGATATAGTATGACTCATGATATTTTTTTAGCCAGAAATTATGTAAAGGTGACAGAAACTGCTGTAAAGAGGCCTTTATTAATATCATTGTAGAGTGTGGAGAGAAAGGTGTTTCATAATCCTATGGCCACGGATTAATCTAGTAAGCTTAGGCCTTTGAAAATAAACCCTTACATGGCAGTAAAAATATAAGCCATATGTTTGGAGAATTTCCTTGCAAATCAAATGTTTGGAAAGGGACTTTTATCACAAATATACCAATTACCTTAGAATTGAACAACAAAACCACCTAATTTAATTTTAAAATAGGTAAAGTCCTGAATTGAAACCACATCTAAAAACAAATATAAAAATGTGATCAGCTTGATTTACATTAGGTATATGAATGTTTACTCTTCAAAAAATACTGCTAACCTATCATAATGGGTGAAATACACAATGTAGACAGTACCAAATGCTAATCAAGAAGCTGAAAATTAGGAGGTTTCACCCCTTGCTGGTGGGAATGCTAAAATGGCACATAGACCACTACAGTTAATAATTTAATGTGGATTTCAGAATAGCTGGAGGATCAAATTTAGAATGTTCTTAACACAAAGAAATAATCAATTATTCAGATGAAGGATATCCCAGTTATCCAGATTTGATCACTGCCATAATATTCTTTTATCAAAATATCACGTATACCACATAAAGGTTTTGAACTATTGTGTATCTATATGAACTAAACATTAAAAAATACAAATGCAGAGGAATCCAGCTAATTGCAGATTCCCATTAGATGGGATGTTCTGCATAATCTGTAAATGAATCAGAATCTTTGGGTTTGTAAAGGACTTTAGAAATCAGCTAGACTACTTGCTTCTAAAGATAAGTCCCCCAAGTTTAATTATTTTCCTAACGGGTGGCTATTTTGAACACACAAGAGATGTTAACATTTGTTCCTGGTAAGTTTTCTTCTTCTACTGTCAGGTGGAAAGGTTTGCAGGGAGGAGTCTGGAGTCATCTTTCAACTCTCAACTTCAATGTGATTACCACAGTAAGTATTTTCTCATACCCCTGTCTAGAATAAGGCTCATATATGTCCTATGAACGAAAAGTAGAATTCCAAGCACCCCAACTGACTGGATGGACCCTTTCTCTTCAAAAAGGAGTTCCAGAGACTTGAAAACCTAGTTCACGCCATGTTAGAAACAGAAGATCAGAAATGCCTCATACCGTCCTCCCTTTGGAATTCAAGCACAACTAACCAGCATTTTCATTAAAACCAACCTTAAGCCTCAGAAAACAGATCCGTAGTAGCAGTAAGATACCAAATTCCAACCTGACTCAAGAATAGCATCACATGACAGGTAACAGGCTTGGAAAGGAATCAAAGTCTTTTACCCTAAAATATATTTCTTTGACATATTTTAGAATTGTCTTTCACAGTTATCTTTTGTGAGAGAAATTTACATTTTATAGACTGTCTCCTTCCCTTTCCAGGTATTTTTGTTATACTGAGGAGATTAGCTGAGAGTCTAGAATCTCTTAAATGTCTTAATAGAAAACATTTTCCATCTATTCCCTCTAAGGGTGGCCACATAAGAGGCTTCATCCTCATAAGAAGAATCTTGTTCTCTAAAACCAGTTATCTTAACCCAGACACTTTTTTTTCCTAGAGATTTCAGGTCTTTAGATAAAAACTTAAGTCTGTCAATCAATTGCCAATCAGAAAATCTTTGAATCCAGCTATAAGCTGTAATCCTCTCCCCACACTGCCTCCCTTCTAGCTGTCTTGTCTTTATGGAACAAATCAACATATATCTCACATGTATTGATTGACGTCTGTCTCTCTAGGACATTAAATTTAAGCTGCAGTCAAACCACTTTGGGCATATGTTCTCAAGATCTTGTGGGGCTGTGTCACAGGGCATGGGCCTCACATTTGGCCCATAATAAATCTAAGAATTTTCCATTTGGAAGGCCGAGACTGGCAGATAACCTGAGGTTGGGAGTTCGAGGTCCGCCTGACCAACATGGAGAAACCCTGTCTCTACTAAAAGTACAAAATTAGCCGGGCATGGTGGTGCATGACTGTAATCCAAGCTACTCAGGAGGCTGAGGCAGGAGAATGGCTTGAACCTAGGAGGTGGAGGTTGCAGTGAACCGAGATCATGCCATTGCACTCAAACCTGGGCAACAAGAGCAAAACTCTGTCTCAAAAAAAAAAAAAAAAAAACTCCAAAGTTGGTTTTTTATCAGTAGCTCTAATAGAACCTACCGTGTGATGGTTGTTATATTCACAAGCATAATATTAAAAAAAGTATTAGTTATTAAAAATAAACACTTGTTGGCAATATCTTATGAAGGTACACAGAGACGAACTATGGAATCAAGTGTAAATGTTTCAAAGTATTTATGCAGTTATTTCAAAATTTATGTTCCACAGATACTTAGATTCCTTATATCAGCTAATTATTTGGTTTATGATTTCTTCATTTTTTGTAGATGATCATACACTATCTTTTCTAGGGCTTTATTGTAGAAAATTGTGTGAAACTAGTCAGGGCTACATTTGAAAGTCATTGTCGCAGTGGCTGCCGGAATTGAACTGCGTTTCCTCTGCAGTCACCAGATACTCAGATTCCTCCAGTGACAACTTAATCTTGTTTCCTGCTTGCCTTTGGGTCTTAATCTTGTGCTATCCAGCAACACTCTGTCTTCCAGATCCCCCAGCTCATCCCAAAGCCACATGGACCTGACAATTGTCAATGTAGTGGGAAGGGTTGCACTGAACGGGCACTTTCTGTCCTTCTTAGGGAGCCATACTGTAGGCAGACATCGAAGTCCTGGCTCAGGGTGTGTCCTTCCAAGTATCTCTGCCACTCCTGCAAGTGCAATGCTGATCCATGCATCTTCCTCCCATTTCTGGGTAGAGGGTCTCCTTGTTTTTTCCCAGATCTTCTTCCAGCAACCACTATGTCTTCCCACTGATGTCCTCAGCTTCCTCTTTTCTGCCCTTCCCAGCAGGATGAGACTGTTATGAACAAGGGAAGAAAGAGGAGATGGGAGATGAGGCTGTTATTCCTGAGAGAATGGACAGAACTTTTGAGCTTTTATTTCTTCTGTCCCAGTTTCTATGAGTTCCTCCAGTGCCAGTAACACAGAGATGTTAGTGGTTTTGCCCCTGCGTGTTAATTCTTTGGTGATGTAGTGATGGCAGGGGCGGTGGGTCTGGATACATTTCAGCCACAGCTGCTGTTCCACTTTCTCACACAGAACCATCTTGGGAGAAAGAGGGTGGAGATTTTTGTGATGTGTCCTCAATCCTGGGAGAAAAGTTTTCAATAGCGATAGGAATCCCCCTCAATCGTACGTCTTCTGAGAATTTAAGCAATAACCTCTTTATTATACTCAACTCTAAACAATCTAAAGAATATATCTAATTTAATCCTGCATCAGCTTATATGACATTTGCTTACCTCTACCCCAGATAAGGTCATATTCTCTTCCTGTTTATTCTGGCAAGTCATTGACTTTCTCAAAATGTAAGGTCTATTTTTCATCCTATAACATTAACCTTTCTTACAAAAGAAAATGTGCTATTTTGCAGCTCAGTAAGGTTAGTTGTTGTTTTAAAAATAATATATATATATTTTTTGGGATGCCTACATCTCCAGGCTAACTAATACTCAGAAACTGGTAATCATACAAATATTAAGGAGCTTTATAAATAAATGGTAGGGGTGCAGTCATTAACTGAAATACTGTTCCTCATTAGAATCAACACATTGTTTATACACAGCCAAATTACTGACTCACAAGTAATTATGCTGAGCAAGAAGCCACACAAATGATATGGAAACTATAAGATTTCACTTTAACAAAATCTTAGAAAATGTATCTGAAGTAACAAAGATGAGAGATTGACTCAGTATGGTGAGAAGGAAATGACTGGGAGGCAATAAGCAGAGAAATAGGGGGAAGCTTTTAAGTGTAAGTCATCATCTTGACTGTTATTTTGGATGCACAGGTGAGCACATGTGAAATTACATTTATTTTTCCTTTGGAGACATGGTCTTGTTTTGTCATCCAGGCTGGAGCTCAGTGGTGAGATCATAGTTCTCTGCAGCCTCAGAACCTGGGTCTCCAGCAATCCTCCTCTGTCTGCCCTACATAGCTGGGACTACAGGCATGCACCACCATGCTCGGCTTCAGTGCTTATTAAAATTTTATTTTATAGCAATAATGCCTCAATAAGCGTTTGGCAAAAGAGTGGGTAATTTGTTCAATAAAGATTTATAGAAAGACACTCACATGAGAAATGTATGACACTTGAGATAATAAATAAAACTGTAGAAAATGTGCTTTTCTTAACATTTGATAGGCAATTACAACAGTGCATACATATCACACCATGTTCTCATTACAGAGAAAAGGTTCTGCAAACTTCACCAGGTGCGACACCCTGAAGTCGGACCCAGTGGTAAGAAGCACAGGCCCAGATACCCAGGCTCACTCTGACCAAATGTGAGCTCTGGGGACATGGTAGAAACCATCTGTGATTTTGCTGGTAATTTTTCATCTGTAACATGGAAATAAAATCGATACAACATACCATGTTTTCTCTGCATATGTAAAAATAAAAGATGATTGGTGCTAACTTTAAATACATGCAGTTTATGTACATCTATTGTACCTCAATACAACACGTTTTAAAAAAGAAATTACAAAATTATAACTTTTATTACATTTTAAGGTTTTATTACAGAAAAAACTGACAATAAGAAACAACAATTTCCAAAATGTTATCAATATCACAAATCTCCCCCAGGACATTTTCACGTGCTCTGAGCCCCACTCTCTCCAAAGACCTCTCACCCCAGAGCTTGCTATATAGTAGGAGACATGCAAATAGGGCCCTCCCTCTGCTTATGAAAACCAGCCCAGCCCTGACCCTGAAGCTCTGGGAAAGGAGGCCCAGACCTGGCATTTTCAGGTGTTTTCATTTGGTGATCAGGACGGAACACACAGGACTCACCATGGAGCCATGGCTGAGCTGGGTTTTTCTTGTTGCTATTTTAAAAGGTAATACATAGAGAAATAGAAAAAGTTGAGTGTGAGTGGATCAGAGTGAGAGAAACTGGATATGTGTGGCAGTTTCTGACCAGGGTTTCTTTTTGTTTGCAGGTGTCCAGTGTGAGGTGCAGCTGGTAGAGTCTGGGGGAGGCTTGGTCCAGCCTGGCGGGTCCCTGAGACTCTCCTGTGCAGCCTCTGGATTCACCTTCAGTGACTACTGGATGTACTGGGTCCGCCAGGCTCCAGGGAAGGGGCTGGAGTGGGTCTCAAGTATTAGTGGTAGCAGTAGTAGCACATACTACCCAGACTCTGTCAAGGGCCGATTCACCATCTCCAGAGACAACGCCAAGAACACGCTGTATCTGCAAATGAACAGCCTGAGAGCTGAGGACACGGCTGTCTATTACTGTGCGAGAGACACAGTGAGGGGAAGTCAGTGTGAGCCCAGACACAAACCTCCCTGCAGAAACGCTCAGGGAAAATCAGCTGCAGGGGGCACTCAGGACCCACTGATCAGAGTCAATCCCAGAGGCAAGTGCAGATGGAGGCTGATTTCCTGTCAGGATGTGGGACTTCATCTTCTCACAGTTTCTCTAGTTAACCTCTCTAAGTTTATAATGCTGTGCTTACTAATGTCATCTCTACTGGTTTTTAAAAAGATCTTTTTAATATGAGGACCTATTCTCGCATGCAAGAAATGCAGATTGATGCTTACAGAGATGAAAAATTCAACCATGGTCACCAAGGATCAGACTCCTGAGGAAACTCAGCAGTGCCTGGTGAGTCTTTCAATCAGACCCAGACAGAAACCTCAAGGAGATCCCTTGACTAGAAGTCTATGAATTTCGATCACAGCCAAGAGAGAGGCTGGGCCAGGGACAGTGTCATGCAGAACCTCACAGGTTTCACGTCTGACCCTTCTCCTGACACTAAATCCAATCAGTACCAGCACTGACCTGGTGCTCCTTTTGCTCCCAATCCATGTTCTTTCTTTGGAGTGTTTGTTCTCCCTTTTTTATTTGCTTTTCCTGTTTCCTGAAAAAGAAACAGAATGGTTTCCACGGTCTACATTCCAGGGCTCAAGGCATTTTCTTGGAGCTCAGGTGGGGCTCAGCCTGTGGCTCCTGCAGCCACGTGGGAGAGGCTGATGGTACTTCCTTCTCTCCCCATTTTCTCAGGACCCTCCACTGTGTTGTGTGTAGTCTAATCTGGGGATGCAATTGGCTGTTAATAATGAAGGGGATAAACTTATTTGGTCAAAATGAGATGTGGAATTAACCCTGTTCTGTGCACACAGTCAGAGTCATCTGCTTCAAAAGTAGTGTTAGAAAGAGCTGGTGAAATTCATTAGAATCAAGATGGAGCCACTTGTGTTAAAACCCTAATGAATGATGCTGGGGAAGGCCATGAAGGAGGGTTCTAGCACACATGTTCCTGATAACAAGAACTATCAAAAAGAGACTGCACAACCGTAACCTTGCACAAAGGCCACCACAACATTAAAAGAATTGCTTCCCCCAGTGTATCTGCCCAGCAACTGCCTGTTCAACTTTACACCGATATCCCCCGTTATTGATCCTGTAGCCCAGGAAAATTATCTTTAACATCTGATGTAACTCTCCTCATTTTTCCTTTGTTCTTTATCTTCCTACACCAACCTGAATGCATCCATACACATTTCAATTGCAGTGCACATCCTAGAATAAATATTACTGTATTTTAGAGTCTCTTTCTCTCTGTTTTTCAGGGTTGACAAGCTACAGAAGGACATGACACTTTTCTGTGAGATATAGAGGATGACAGTTTTGGGAGATGTCTGGGAATATAAAATGTCCGTAAGATCATCCATCAATAAGTGCAGGCTGGAAGTCCCAGAGAGAGGCTAAGCTGCTGAATCACCAAGGAATTTCATTTTCTCCAGTTCTGCTCTGAGGGAATCAGGCCTACCCGTTTTACTTGTCTTAAGTAAATTCACAGTGTTGGAGTGAATAAATACAAAGTCTACTCTAACCAAGTGTACCATAGAACTTACTATTACCCAGAGGGAAGAATCTTTAACATGAGATCTATGTTCTTAAATTTTTTAAGTGAAAAACTGATCACTACCCAATCAGGCAAATAAGATTTTGCTAATGAGTTGCAGATGTTGCATGTATATTTTGGATATCAACCCTTTTTCAGATGCGTGACTTACAATTGTATTTTCCCATTCTGTAGGTTGGAATTTTTTGGATGCTTTGCAGAATCTTTTTCTTTTGATGTAGTTCCACTTGTTTAATTCTGCTTTTGTTTTATGTATCTTTAATGTGAAATATAGGAAATCATTGTTAATATTATTTTCTGGGTGGGGGAAGTTTTACAATTGCAGACCATATGTTTAAATATTTAGCCCTTCAGAGTGATTTTTGTGTATATTCTAATCTAAAATTCTTAATTCTTTGCATGTGTAGATCCAGCTTTTCTAACACACTCTTAGGGAGAGACTTGGCTTATCCATTGTATATTGTCGGTTCTCATACTGAAAATCAGTTTGCCATTGATATATCAGTTTATTTCTGAGCTCTTTCTACATATTTATGCCAATGCCATCCTGTTTTTATTATTCTATTTTCGTTATCGCTTTTGAAATCTAGAAGTAAAATGTCACCAAGTTTATTTTTTGCCTTTTTACAGATACTATAGCAAAATATTTTAACCTTTCACTCTTCCGTATGATAAAAATATGGCTTTAAATATGAATAATTTTATTATGTACAGGTTATATTCTTGTATCTCTCCTTTTTAGAGGCTTTATCATGAAATCTTGAATTTTTATATGCTATTTTCTGTGGTGAGAAGTTGATTCTTTTCCTTTATTCTCTTAATTTAACGCATCACATATATTGATTTGAAGATATTGAGCCATCAGTGCATCTCAAGAATAACTTTGAGCTTGTCATGGTGCAGAATCCTTTTAAAGTCTAATGGAACTTAGTTGACTGTGACTTGGGAGCCGTTTATTTATATACACTAAGGGCACATGTCAGAAGTTTGATTTTCTTCTTTTGCCTTTGTCTATTACTGGTAATACAGTGATTGGAGACTCTCAGAAAGAGTTTAGAAGGTGGGCACCTCACAAATTTTTTAAAAAGTTGGAGAATCATTGGCATTACTTTTTTAAGTGCTGAGAGTCATTTTTTGTCTAACATATAACCCATCATGAAGAATATTTATAATGTGCTTGGGAAGCATGCAAGTTACACTGGTGTTGGTTGGAATGTTCTGTAGATGTCTATTAGGTCAGTTTGTTCAACAGTGCTTGAGTCCACGGGCTTCCTAAGAATGTTTCTCTGGATGTTCTATACATTATTGAGGGTGAGGTGTTGAAGTCTCCTCAGTTTTTTATTATTTTCAATTTCTCCTCTTATATGTCTTAATGTTTCATAAATGTAGTTATATTTCTATTGTTTCAAATATGTGAAAGAGAAATAAAGTAATAATTGCTAGTCATTTTAATGAGAAAATCACCTAACAGGAAATTATATTTTCCAAATGCTGCCATCAACAGTAAACTCCCCCAGGAGTCTCACATCGGCCCTGGGCTCTGCTCTCTCCTCAGGCGTCCCACCTCAGCGTTTGCTACAGAGGAGGGGAAGTGAAAATAGGGCCCTCCCTCTCCTGATGACAACCAGTAGAGCCCTGACCCTGCAGCTCTGGGAGAAGAGCCCCAGTCCAGCATTACCTGGAGTTTCATTTGATGATCAACTCTGAACACACGTGGCTCACCATAGAGTTAGGGCTGAGCTGGGTTTTCTTGTTGCTATTTTAAAAGGCAAAAAATGGAGAACTAGCAATATTGAGTGTGAGTGGATGTGAGTGAAAAAACAGTGATTATAGGTGGCAGTTTCTGACCAAAATGTCCCTAGTTTGTAGGTGTCTAGTGTGAGGTGCAGGTGATGGAGTCTGGGGGAGAGGCAAGAGGAGAAAAGTGCGCAGGAGGTCGGTTGTGACTGTAGGCACTGTCAGCCCACTATGCCAATCTCACAACCAGTGCTGGAGAAGGTGGGATTCTGATGGATCTTCCTAACAACCCTGTGGTCCAGGCTAATTCCATCAAGGCCATTGGTTTCTCCTGGAGCATAGTTTCCCATCAGGAATCCCCTATGTGCCCAGCAACAGCCACACCTTCGCATCTTCACTGAGCACAGTCATTGTTTGGGAGGAGCTCCAGGATGTGTCTCTTTGTCAAAAACTGGGTGATAGATGTCAGAGAGCTGTGCTGGGTTCCTGGTCCAGGTGCTTCCTGATGTTGGAGGTATAGGAGGTGTGTTATCAGGATGGAAATACCGTTTATGGATATGTACATAAGAAAACATGATTTTCCTTGGTTCTCTTAGATGACATGAAGAAGCAAGAGTGCAGCCTGCAAACAATTGTAATTTCCTACTTTACACCAAGTTCATAATTTCTTGTAAACTTTGGTTTCTGTCCAAGTACAGAGATATTGATTAGAGTGAGTTTGCTTCTTTCCACACACTCACCTTCACCTCCCCCAGATAAAGAGCAACCTGTCCTCACTCTGAGTCTGAGGGAGGAGCTGTTCCTGTACAACTAAGGGCCTTCAGAGACCCCCGTGTGCAGCTTTGCAGAGTCAGATGTTTCCTCATGTAGGGAGACCTCCACTGCCTGTGATTGCTGCTCAGGTCTAATTGTGGATTCGGGATTACGACACACTTTAGGCTATCACAGGTCAATCTGATTCTGAAAAATTGCCATTATCATAGATAGAGCTAACAACCCAATGCCCATTCTTCTGTCAGCACTTTGTCTTTCTTATTTGGTTGAAAGTTTGAAGAAAAAATGTGACCATATACTTGTCTAATTCTAACTTCAGAATCTACTATTTGCACTCGGGGACCCACAAATTGCAAAACAGGGAGCTCCTCTTTCTCATGCACACAGGGAGCTCCTCATTCTCATCCACACAGGGAGTTCTTCATTTTCATCAAAAGGTGCTTATTTGTGAATTTCAGCATGTTGCTCAGAACCTGTGCATGCCGACAGCTATGATTCCCGGTGCACTCCCGGCCTGGTGGAGCCCTCACAGACCCTCTCCCTCACCTGTGCCATGTCTGCTTCTTCATCACAACCAGTGCTTCCTGCTAGAGCTGCGTCATCAGCGCCCCAGGGAAGGGACTGGAGTGAATCAGGTGCCCAGGTCATGAGGGAGTGCACATTCCAACCCACTCCTCAGGAGTCCAGTCACCATCTCCAGATCCACATCCAAAAAACAGTTTTTCCTACAGCTGAGCTCCCTGAGCAACGAGTACACGACCACGGATTTTTACACAAAAGACACAGCGAGGGGAAAACATCGTGAGCCCAGACAAACCTCCCTGCAGGGCAGCTCGGGAACAGCAGGAGACGCTAGGACACCAGGGGGCGCTCAGGACACACATCAAGGCAGGTGCAATGGGGGAAAAGGTGCTGGAGATAGGGTTTGGCATCACCATCATATTTCACCACTGGACACCCTCTACTATGTTTGTTCTCATGTAGAGATTCTTTGTATTATTAGAAAATGGCATTTATAGAAATATATAACCATATGTAGGTGCATCGAGTCGTCCTCTCCATGTTATGTGGACCTTATCCATTAAGACTCTGAGTCCCTGTATTTATTTGAGCTCCTCATAAATTATGATCAATTATGTAGGATCTCTTTTACTTCTTTCTCCCTTTTTCCCTCCTTGTCTCTCACTCACAAACTCTCTCTCTCTCTCTCTCTGTCTCTCTCTCTCTCTCTCTCACACACACACACACACACACACAGAGAAAGAGAATTCTATAACTTCAACTACCTGATGTATTGAAGACAATTGATTAAACTTCAGCTTTTCCAGTTTAGCTGCTGTTAATATTGCTGTAAGAATAAGAACATTGTGCTTCTCAGCTGTGTACTTCTCTAAGATGAGTAGCAGCTTTTAAAATAATACCCAGATACTGAAAGCAATCCAAATATCAATCAGCAGCTGAATCAGTAAACAAATTGTGGTAAATTCATTCACTGGAAAAACGCCCACTGTCACAATCAGGTACAGCTGGATGCGCTCAGCAGCGAGGGTGAATTCACAAGTAGGTATGATGAGTAACATAAGACAAACAAATATAAGTCCATACGTATTATTCCGCTTTTATAAACTCTATAAAATGAAAACTAATGTTACATAAAGAAAAGCAGTAGTTGACTCTGAACGTGGTGTGAGAAGGGAAGGTGGAGGAAGCAGGAGTTATAGGAAAACGAGGAAATTTTGAGGGTAGCTGATTTTCTTCTGTGTTGAGAAAGGTAATGGTTATGTCACTATTTTCAAATTGTACACGTTATGGAATGGCTATTATTTGCTAATTTTACCTCATTAAAATATTACAAATTTAAACACATATAATTTGGTAGAAAATGAGTTAGACAGAGATGAATAAAATAAGTGAGAAATGAAAAAAAGAAAATCACAGAACAAAGGCATTAAGGACTTCACTCAACAAACGAAAGAAATTTTAAATTTCTCAACACTGAATTAAAGATTTAATTAAATATATATGAGAAATCAAAGAATCCGGAATATACACGTGAATAAACCCTACGACTACCTATATTTTTAGGGAAAAACTAGAATACAACAAAATAATGTTATGATTTTATAACATAAAGGGGGTTAATCAACCACACCAGGCATGTCCAGCTCTGTCCTGGAGTTCATTGAGGGAACAGGTGTGTCCTGTGGTTAGGAATCATGGCACCAAGCTCACAACATCAGTTCTAGTTGAAAGAATGCAAAGGCCAAGAGATCTCAACTCAAATGTAGTGTGGATTTCACATCTAGGGGTGCCACCCATTCCCCCACGTAAATATGGAAACGTTAATTACCTCTTGATGTGTCTGCCAAGATTAGTGCTGGTATCTCAGGAATGTCCAAAATGACTAAATACAGCAAGAAAGGAGACTGGCTCAGGGTTCCTATAGTGGCTTGGTAGTGGAGGCAAAGTGAGGGTTCTCACTCACAGAAAGGAGTTTGTGGAACTTGAACCTCCAAATGGCATAAAATGAGGGAGTTCCTGTGATTCCTAACTAGATGATTCATCTCATGTGAGAAAGAAAAGAGATGATGGAGGAATGAGCCTTAACTTATCAACAGTCAGGCTCAAAACAATAGTCTGATGATTTATTCTATGCAGCAACTATAAAAATCATAAGTATGGGTTGACCAGGTCTACAAAAAATGAGAAGACTGTTTACAAGAATAAGCAAATAATAATGAAAAGGAAAAACAAGGAGAATGAGGTGAAAGACACGGTGCAGGGGATTAGACAAGGGTCTTGTCCCAATGTCTTGTGTGGAGACTTTTCACTGTCTAAAATCATCTGCTTATTCTGAATGTCTTAGGTGAGCTATCTGCTCCAAAATATCAGAAGCCCAGAGGATTCCTGAGGATACTCACTCTAATATCTTCTAATTGAGTAGCCTTACAATTGTGAAATATTCTTAGTTATTGTTATTATAATTAGAAATAGGCTCTCACTCTGTTGCACAGGTTGGAGTGCAGTGGCACAATCATAGCTCACTATAACCTTGAACTCCTGGCTCACACAATCCTTCTGTCTCAGCTTCCTGAGTAGCTATGACAAGAGGGGTGCACCACCACAACCAGCTGATTTTAAAAAAATCTTTCATAAAAATGGGGTCTCCAACAGAGCGAGACTCTGTCTCAGAAAAAAAAGAAAAAGAAAAAGAAATGGGGTCACTGTGTTGCCCAGGCTGGTCTTGAACTCCTAGTCTCATATGATTCACCTGGTTTCGCTTCTCAAAGCAGTGGAATTATAGGCATGAGCCACCACGTCGGTCTGAACTGATTCTTTAGGCACAAAATATCAACACAAGAATTGATTCCCTAAATTTTTTCTGCGGAGTTTTGGTCAGTAGTGCCTGATAAGATTTATTGCAATATGTTTCAATAGCAGATTTTTTTTTTCCTAATGTTTCTTCTGGTATACATAATTCCATGGCTGAAGATCACAAAACACTGTTAAAAGATGACATAAAAAGGCCACCTTAAACTTTTGGTGATTGAGTATAATACAAAAATTACGTTCAGTATTGTATAACACATGCGTGCAACAGGACGGAGGTGAGCAATGAGGGTCAAATTTTTCAATGTATGAATCCTAAAGCTTCAGAGTCATAGAGTAGTAACTGATGTGTCCTGAGGGAGGGACAAGAGTGCCATAGTGCTAGTGGGATAACTCTTGGCCAAGAGAGTTTTCATATTTTAGCCGGGCGCGGTGGCTCACGCCTGTAATCGCAGCACTGGAAGGCCCAGGCGGGTGTGTCACGAGGTCAGGAGATTGAGACCATCCTGGTTAATACGGTGAAACCCCATCTCTACTAAAAATACAAAAAAAAATAGATGGATGTGGCGGCGGTGCCTGTAGTCCCAGCTACTTGGGAGACTCAGGCAGGAGAATGGTGTGAACCCGGGAGGCTGAACTTGCAGTGATCAGAGATCCTGCCACTGCACTCCAGCCTGGGCAACAGAGTGAGACTCCGTCTTAAAATATATATATATATATAGAGAGAGAGAGAGTTCATATTTTATTAGAAGTTTTTGTATTTTTTATTTAAAGATGCCATTTTTCAACATATCCAGAATATTGTGAGTGGGGTTGATTCTGTACGATATGAACAATGGCAATGCCTTCTATGTTTAGATAAAATTACAAACCAGGTTAAGACTGCGTGTTTCATGTAATGATGCACCAGAATATTATTCTAGCTTCCATACTAGTGCTTTGTTATTCTCTTAGTTTGCATTTGGTTTCAAATTTACATGTCAGGTCTCTAAAATGTAGGAATTTATTTAAGGGTGTCTTTTCTTGTTGTTCATTTTGATGGAGTTTCCAGAAAATTTAAGTAGAGCAAATAAAATATGCTCTGCCTGCAGCACGTTTTACAATTCTGCACTACTGTAGAGCATCTGTATTTAATCCTGGCCTTGGTTAATTGACAAGCTCTAATAAGTGTAATAACTTCTGCCTTATGGGCTGATTTTACATCAGGTGGAGGAATATATCGCAAATGAAAGTTTGTACTGGTAATATAAATTATTACTTAATAACCACCACATGTGTTATTTAGGGGTTACTCATCAAGAATTAATGTTAAATAAAGGGTCTCAATGAGAATAGTACCTAATGGATACACAAAATATTTTGGTAATCTAGATAAAATAGATGTGAACACACTCTTAGAATCCAGCCAGGTCTCCTGTCTACCACATTATTAACCACACAGTAACTGACATCACTTAGGGCTTTTTCTAATTATCCAATTAGTTACTTATTTATCTCAAGGCCTCTGGATTATTATGTGCGACTACTTCAGCAGAAAGTGAAGAAACACAACTTAGGCTGACTAAACAATGAGGAAAATCACAACCTAATGAAACAAGAAGCCTGGATGTGAGCAGGTCCAGGATTGAATAATTTGACAGCTCATGTGCCCAGGAAGTTTCTTTTCTCAATTTTCCACACTGATGCACCCAGAAAGTCACCTTCACCACCGCCCCCCTCCCAGTGACTCCCATCATGCAGTAACACGGTGACAACAGTCCCAAGGGTCACACACGTATATTATATATTGGCTGGAAAAGGGGCAGAGACAGTTCTGCAATTCTCTTTTCCTGAAGGAAAAGGAACAACTCAGCAGACCATCTCCCCTGCCTCCATGACTAGAACTGTACCAGGTGCCCAGGTGGACACTCATCCCTGATGGGGATAATAAGACGCCATTGAAGAGGCTGACAATTTTATCATAGAATTGACTAAAGACTGAGATAAAGGTTTCAAAAACTAATTGAAGTCTGTCGTTCTATGTCCACCAGAGACTACAGATCCTCCAATGATACCTTCTTTGTCTTTTCTGCTTGACTTTGTCTCTTCACCTTGTTTCATCCTCCAGAGAATCTCTTTCAGCTCCCTCGGGTGCACTCAAGTGTTTTATTTACTGACAATTTCTAAATTGGTGAAAGACATTAGACTAAAGGGTCCATATTCCTAGGTCCATATTTCTTAGTCCACATTCCTAGGAAGGCGTTGTGACCCTGGGTCGGGGTGTGACCTTCTGATTGTTTCTGACCCTCTTCCAGATGAGATGCTGGTCTGTGTGTTCTTGCCCCTTCCCCTAGGGATAGAGTCCTCCTGTTTTCCCCAGGTGTTCCCTCCCGTAGCTCCAGTGTTCTCCATCGGTGTCATCACCTTGCAGATCTGCTGCCCTGCCCTGCAGACTAAGGCTCTGATTCCATAAGAATGACAAGGGAGCTGCTTCTCAATAGATTTTTGTGGGGATGTCTGTTCTCATCTCAATTCCTGAGGGGTTGAACCAGTGTCCCTAGGATTCTGGTTTCAGTGGTTTTCCTTTCAAGAGTAAATTCTTAGTTCTGTGTGGAAATAAGGGAATTGGGCCTGAATACATTTTAGAAGTGTGGGCTCTTCTTTTCTTCCAGACAGACACTTTGAGAAAGGAAGATTTTTGTGACTGTCCCCTTTCTTGGGGAAAGGATTTCAAGAGGATAGGTTAGCTTTTCAGTATGTGGTCCCTTAAAATTTTACACCACAAAACAACACATTCTATTTCAAGCAATCCAATATATATTTTTATTTTTTCTTGGAATAGCCTGTATTTAATATTCCAGACTCTGCCTTAGGTAATTTCATACCCTGACTTTGTTCCTCTCTACAAGAACTTGCTTCTTCCTAAACTTCAGCTTTATTGTTTGTTTTGAAACTGTAATTATCGGAAGTTTTAAAGAAAATCTGCAAAATTCCATTTTCCATATTTACCTATTATTGTTGATGCATTTTTTAAAAATATGAAAAATGTATTCATTTTGTAAGTGTATTTCCAAGTTTAACAGCAGATTTTTAAGACCCAGAATAATAAAAAATTCAAATATTATTCAGCTGCTTAATATAAAACAAATTATGATAAATTTTGTTTGCTAGAACACTATCCAGAATTTATAATAAGTAAATGTCTGATATATACAACTACGAGGTAAAATATCTAATTATTTATGCTAACTAAAATAAGCCAAACAAATAAGAATATATACTATGTCAATTCATTTTTATAAATTCTAATAAAATCAAATGAATCTGCAGCAATATAAAGATTCGTAGTTGCCAGGGAAATGGTAGAATAAAGAAAAGGAAAAGGAGGAAGAATATAGAAGAACAAAAGGAAATGTTGAGAATTCTCTTGTCCACCTTGATAAGGATGATGATTACATCATATTTATTAATTGTACACTTTAAATATGTGAAAGTTTATTATCTGTAACTAAAACTTATAAAATTTATTACAAGCAACGAATGGAAACTTAGACAAGGAAGGAGTGACAGAAAGACAGAAAAAAACGTATATTAAATTTGAGAAATACTTAGGAATGTATCTGCCCGAACCGTGGTTCTCACTATATTTTTAGGTGAACGCTAGAATGCAGCAAAGTCACACACGTTCTCAACACAGGAAATGGGTTCCACAAACCACACTAGGCACATCAACCTCTGTCCTGGAGTTGGTTCAGGGAGTAATTGGGGCCAGTGATGAGGAGCACAGGCCAAGATGCTGGAGCTTACTCATCCTAAACATGAGCTCTTAGACATATACTGAGCATCTGTACATAGAGAAACCATTGGCTCCAACAAAACATAATTTACACAATTATGTAAAAAGAAAATAAGGTGATCTTTCCAAAGTGTTTATCACAGCTTAATTTTATAACAAGATAGCATATTTTCCAAATACCATCATTGAGAGCAAACTCCTGCAACGCACAGTCATCCTATCTGGGCCCGTCCTCTCCTCAGGTGTCCCACCCCAGAGCTTGCCATATAGTAGGAGACATGCAAATACCGTCCTCCCTCTGCTGATGAAAACCAGCCCAGCCCTGACCCTGCAGCTCTAGGAGAGGAGCCCCAGCCCTGAGATTTCCAGGTGTTTCCTTTTGGTGATCAGCATTGAACACAGACCACCCCCATGGAGTTTGGGCTGAGCTGGGTTTTCCTTGTTGCTATTTTAAAAGGTGATTCATGGAGAGCTAGAGAGATTGACTGTGAGGGGACATGAGTGAGAGAAACAGTGGATTTGTGTGGCAGTTTCTGACCTTGGTGTCTCTGTGTTTGCAGGTGTCCAGTGTGAGGTGCAGCTGGTGGAGTCTGGGGGAGGCTTGGTACAGCCTGGGGGGTCCCTGAGACTCTCCTGTGCAGCCTCCGGATTCACCTCAGGTAACTCTGACTTGATCTGGATCCGCCAGGCTCCAGGGAAGGGTCTGGAGTGGGTCTCATACATTAGTAGTGGTGGTAGTACATACTACTCAGACTCTGTCAAGGGCCGATTCACCATCTCCAGAGAGAACGCCAAGAACACGCTGTATCTGCAAATGAGCAGCCTGAGAGTGGAGGACACGGCTGTGTATTACTGTGTGAGAGACACAGTGAGGGGAGGTCAGTGTGAGCCCAGACACAAACCTCCCTGCAGGAACGCTGGGGAGAAATCAGCTGCAGGGGGCGCTCAGGAGCCACTGATCAGAGTCAGCCCAGAGGCAGGTGAAATGGAGGCTGATTTCCTGTCAGGATGTGGGACTTTATCTTCTTCCGACAGTTTCTCTAATGAACTTCTCTAATTTTAGGATTCCATGCTTCCTAATGTCATCTCTACATATTTTCAAAAGATCATTTTAATATGAGGACATAACCTCTCATTCACCAAATGCACAATGATGCTAACAGAGATGAAAAGTTCTCAACCATTGTCACCAGGATCAGAGACCTGAGAAAGCTCACGGGTGCCTGGTGAGTCGTCTCCAATAAGCCCCAGTACAGAATCCTCAGGGAGATTCCTGGACTAGAACAGTCTTCAGGGACTCCGATCACAGCCAATAGAAAGGCTGGGCCAGGGTCAGTGTCATGTAGAAGCTCACAGGTTTCTCGTCTGACCCTTCTCCTGACACTAAATCCAATCAGCGTCAGCACTGACCTGGTGCTCCTTCGCTCCCAATCCATGTTCTTTCTTTGGAGTGTTCGTTCTCCCTTTTTATTTGCTTTTCCTGCTTCCTGGAAAAGAAACAGAAGACCTCCGTGGTCTACCTTCCAGGGTTCAAGGCATTTTCTTGGAGCTCAGGTGGGGCTCAGGCTGTGGCTCCTGCAGCCACGTGGGAGAGGCTGATGGGACTTCCTTCCCTCCCCATCTGCTCAGGACCCTCCACTGTGTTGTGTGTAGACTCATCTGCAAATGCAGTTGGCTGTTAATAGTGAAGGGGATAAACTTATTTTATTAAAATGGAATGAGGATGTGGAATTAACCCTGTTCAAACTGTCAGTCATCTGCTTCAGAAGTAGTGTTAGAAAGAGCTTGTGAAATTTATTAGAATCAAGATGGAGCCACTTGTGTTAAAACCCTAATGAATGAAGCTGGGGAAGGCCATGAAGGAGAGTTCTAACACATATGTTCCTGATAACAAGAACTATCATAAATAGACTCTGCACAGCCACAACCTTGCACAAAAGCCATCACAACCTTAAAAGAATTACTTCTCCAAGTATATCTGCCCAGCAACTGCTTGTTCAACCTCACACTGATGTTACCTCTATTACTGATCCTTCTAGTCCAGGATAATTGTCTCAAAACAGCTGATGTAACCCTCCTCATTTTTCCTTAATTCTTTATCTTCCTTTACCAACCTGAATGCACCCATACATATTTCCATTGCAATGCACATCCTAGAATAAATATTATCACATTTTAGAGTCTCTCTCTGTCTGTTATTCAGGGTTGACAAGCTACAGGTGGACACGCCACATTTCTCTGAGACATAGAGGATGACAGATTTTGGAGATGTCTAGGAATATCCAATGTCCGGAAGATCATCCATCAGTAAGTGCAGGCTGGAAGTCCCAGAGAGAGGTGAAGCTGCCGAATTACCATGGAATTTAATTGTATCCAGTTCTGCTCTGATGCAATCAGGCCCACTCATTTTATCATTGACAGTCTACCTAACCTAGAGTCAACTGCTGACAATTTTCTAACATATATTAAGTAAAATCAGAAACATATATATGCGACCATTTCTGGCTAATTTTTGTATTTTTAGTGGAGATAGGCTTTCACCATGTTGGTCAGGCTAGTCTCCAACTCCTGACCTCAGATGATCCACCCAACTCAGCCTTTCAAAGTGCTGGGATTACACGTGTGAGCAACCGCGCCCGGCTAACACCACATATATTAACTTTGGATTGAATAACTATAAAGTCTACCCTAACCAAGTGTACCATAAAACTTTCCATTACCCAGAGGGAAGAATCTATGTTCGTTATTTTTTAAGGTGTAAAACTGACCATTTTACAATCAGATGATTATGATTTTGCTAATGAGTTGTAGAAGTTGCATGTATATTGTGAATATTAACACTTTTTCAGATTCATGACTTGAAATTATATTCTCCCATTCTGTCCATTGGAATTTTTTCCATGCTTTGCCAGCATCTTTTTGTTGTGATGTAGTTTCACTTGTTCAATTCTGCTTTTGTTGTCTGTGACTTTAATTTGAAATACAGGAAATCATTCTTAATATTATTTTCTAGGTAGGGGAAATTTTACAATTGCAAGGCATACATTTAACTATGTATCCCATTTAGAGTTGATTTTTTGTGTTTATCGTGAACTAAAATTCTTAATTCTTTGCATGTGTAGATTCAGTTTTTCTAACACCCTCTTAGGGAGAGACTTTGATTTATCCATTGTGTATTGTTGGTTTTCATGCTGAAAATCAGTTCGCCATCTATGTATCAGTTTATTTCAGAGCTCTTTCTATATATTATTGCCAATACAATCCTGTTTTTATTTGTGTATCAAAATGTGCATATCTCTAAATTTCAACATGTTGTTCCGAACCTGTGCATGCCACAGCTGTGTTTCTCAGTGCACTCTTGGCCTGGTGAAGCCCTCACAGACCCCCTCCCTCACCTGTGCTGTCTCTGCATTTCCCATCACAATCAGTGCTTCCTGCTGGAGCGGGATCCATCAGCCCACTAGGGAAGGGACTGGAGCGAATCAGGTGCACAGGTCATGAGGGGAGTGCACATTCCAACCTACTCCTCCAAGTCCAGTCACCATCTCCAGATCCACATCCAAATAAAGAGTTTCTCCTACAGCTGAGCTACCTGAGCAACGAGTACACAACCATGATTTTTATAGAAAAGTCACAGCGAGGGAAAGACGTTGTGAGCCCAGACACAAACCTCCCTGCCGGGAAGCTCGGGAGCAGCACGAGGCGCTGGGGACACCAGGGGGCGCTCAGGACACATCAAGGCAGGTGGAAGAGGGAAAAGGTGCAGGCGATGGGGTTTGGCATCACCATCATATTTCACCACTGGACACCCGCCACTGTGTTTATTCTCATGTACGTGATTCTCTGTATTATTAGAAAATGGCATTTATAGAAATATATAACCATATGTAGGTGCATCAAGTCGTCCTCTCCATCTTCTGTGGACCTTTTCCAAAAAGAATCTGAGTCCCTGTTTGAGCACCTCATAAGTTATGGTCAATTATGTAGGATCTCTTTCTCTTCTTTCTCTCTTCTTTCCTCCTCTCTCACTCACAAACTCACTCTCATACACAGAATTCTACAACTTCAGTCACGTGATATGTTGAAGATAATTGGTTAAAGGGCAACTTTTCCAGTTTAGCTCCTGTTCATATTGCTGTAAGAATAAGAACGTTATTTCTCAGCTGCGTATTTCTCTACGATGAGTATTAGGTTTTAAATAATACCCAGACACTGAAATCAATCCAAATATCAATCAGCAGCTTAATCAGTAAACAAATTGTGGTAAATTCATTCACTGGAGAAACACCCACTGTTGTAGTAAGGTACAGCTGGATACGCTCAACAGCCAGGGTGAATTCACAAGTATGTATGATGAGTAAAATAAGACAAATGAATGAAAGTACATACATTCAAGTCCTCTTTTATAAATTCTATAAAATGAAAAGTAATCTAAAGTCACATAAAGAAAACTAGTAGCTGACTCTAGACGTGGTGTGAGAAGGGAAGGTGTACGACCCAGAAATTGTAGGAAAACAAGGAAATTTTGAGCATAGTTGATTTTTTCTATGTTGAGAAAAGTAATGGTTGTGTCACTATTTGTCAAATTGTACACATCACGGGATGGGTATTATTTGTTAATTTCACCTCATTAAAATATTACAAATTTAAACATATATAATTTGGAAGAAAATGAGGTAGACAGAGATGAATAAAATATATGATAAATAAAAAAAGAAAATCATAGAACGTTGGTTTAAGGACTTCACTCATAAACTGAAGAAATTTAAAATTTGTCAACACAGAATTAAGGATTTAGTTAAATACATATATGAAATCAAAGACTCCTGAATATACACATGAATAAACCCTAAGCCTAACTCTATCTTTAGGGAAACACTAGAATACAACAAAATAATGTCATGATTTCATTACATAACAGGGGTTAATCAAACCACACCAGGCATGTCCAGCTGTGTCCTGGGGTTGGTTCAGGGAACAGGTGTGTCCTGTGGTTAGGAGCTATGGCACCAAGCTCACAGCATTTGTTCTAGTTGACACCATAAAAAGACCAAGAGATCTCAACTAAAATGTAGTGTGGATGTCACATCTGTGGGTGCCACACACTCCCCCATGTGAATACAGAAAGGTTAATTACCTCTGGAGGTGTCTGCCGAGAGTAGAGCTGGTATCTCAGGAATGTCCAAAATGGCTTGATCGAGTAAGAAAGGAGAATGGCTCAGGGTTGCTCTAGTGGTTTGGTGGTGGAGGCAGAGTGAGGGTTCTCACTCACAGAAAGGAGTTTGTGGGGTTTCAACCTCCAGATGGCATCAAATGAGGGAGTTCCTGTGATTCCTAACAAGATTCACCTTGTATTGGAAAGAAAGGAGGTGACGGAGGAATGAGCATTAAGTTATCAACAGTCAGACATCAAAACAATAGTGTGATGACTTATTCTATGTAGCAACTATAAAAATCGTGAATAAAAAGAAAAGATCAGTGTCCAATATGAGTGGACAACAACCAAGTCTACAAAAAAAATGTGAAGTCTGCTTATAAGAATAAGCAAATAATGAAAAGTAGGCCTGAAATGAGGAGAAAGGGGTGAAAGACATGGGGCAGGGGATCAGACATGGGTCCTGTTCCAATGTCTTGTGTGGAGTCATTTCACCATCTAAGATCATGCGCTTATTCTGAATGTCTTAGGTCTTCTCCAAAACATCACAAGTGTCAGAGGATTCCTGAGGATATTCATTTTAATATCTTCTATTTGAGTAGCCTTACAATTGTGTAAAATTCTTAGTTATTATTATTATAATTAGAGAATAAGGTCTCACTCTATCACACAGGTTGGAGTGCAGTGGCACAATCATAGCTCACTGTAACCTTGAACTCCTGGCTCACATAATCCTTCTGCCTCAACCTCCAGAGTAGCTAGGACTAGAAGGATGCACCATCACACACAGCTTATTTTTTTTAATCTTTCATTGAAATGGGGTCTCTCTATGTTGCCCAGGCTGGTCTCAAACACATGGTCTCATGTGATTCCCCTGGTTTTGCTTCTGAAACTGCTGTAATTATAGGCATGAGTCACCATATCTGGACTGAACTGATTCTTTAGTTGCAAAATATCAACCCAAGAACTGACTCCCTGAATTTTTTTTTTCTGCAGTGTTTTGGTTAATAGCGCCTGAAAAGATTTATCCCAATATGTTCCAACAGCAGAATTTTTTCAGATGTTTCTTCCAATAGACATAATTTCTTGGTTGAAGATTGCAAAGTACAGTTAAAAGATGACATAAAAAGGCAACCTTAAAATTTTGGTGGTTGGAGTGAGTATAAAAATTGCTTTCAATATTGTGTAACACACACCTCCTACAGTAGGACGAAGGTGAGCAATGAAGGTAAAATTTCTAAATGTATGAATCTTCCAGCTCCCAAGTCATAGGGCAACAACGGATGTGTCCTGAGGGTGGGACCAGAATGTCTTAGTGTCAGAGGGATAACTCTTGGTCAAGAAATTTTCCGTATTTTTTAAAGTTTTTATATTTTTTTATTTAAAGATGCCATTTTTCAACATATCCAGAATATTGTTCATAGGACTGATTTCTGTATGATATGAACAACGGCAATGCCTTCTATGTTTAGATAATATTACAAACCAGGTTAACACGCACTGTTTTCTGTAATTTGCACCAGAACATTATTTGAGTTTCCATATTAGCTTTTTTCCTCTTTGTTCGCATTTGGTTTCACATTTATATGTCAGGTCTCTAGAATGTACGATTTTATGTAAAACTGTTGTTTCTTGCTGCACATTTTGATAGGGTTTCCAGAAGATTTAAAAACCTCTGCTTGCAGCACATTTTAAAATTCTGCACTGCAGTAGAACATCTGTATTTAATCCCAGTCTTCTGTTAATTGACAAGGTCTAATAAGTGCAGTAACTTCTGCCTTCTTGGATGATTTTACATCAGGTAGAGGAACATATCATAAATGAATGTACTAGTAATATAAATTATTAGTTAATAACCACCACTTCTATTAGGCATTAGTCATCAAGAAATAATGCTAAATCAAGGGTCTCAATGGGAATGTTACTTAAGGCATATACAAAATATTTTGTGAATCTAGACAAAATAGATGTGAACACACACTTAGTATCCAGCCATGTCTCCCGTCTATCACATTATTAACCACACAGTAACTGTCTTCACTTGGGACTTGTTCTAATTTTCAAATTCATTACTTATTTATGTTAATACTTCTAAGTTATGATGTGCGACCATTTTAGTGGAGAGTGAAGAAAGACAACCTAGGCTGACTAAACAATGAGGAAAATCACAACCTGATGAAACAGGAAGCCTGGAAGTGAGTGGCTCCAGGATTGAATAATTTGACAGCTCATCTTCCCAGGCAGTTTCTTTTCTCAGTTTTCAACACTGATACGTCCAGAAAGTCAGCTTCTACTCCCAGGGGACTCCCATCATACAGTGACATGGTGGCAACATTCCCAAGAGTCACACACATATATTAAATATTGTCTGGAATTGGGGATGAGACATTTCTGCAATTCTCCTCTGAAGGACCAGGAACACCTCAACTGACCACTTCCCCTGCCTCCATGACTAGAACTGCACCACATGCCCACATGGACCCTCATCCCTGATGGGAATAATAAGACACCATTGATGAGATTGACTATTTTATCATATAAATTACTAAAGACTGATATAAAAGTTTCAAAAACGAATTGAAGTCTGTCCTACTATGTCCACCAGAGACTACAGATCCTAAAATGATACCTTGTCTTTTCTGCTTGACTTTGTCTCTTCACCTTGTTCTGTCCTCCAGAGAATCTCTTTCAGCTCCCTCAGGTGCATTCAAGTGTTTTATTTAACTGACAATTTCTAAATTGGTGAAAGACATTAGACTAAAGGGTCCATATTCCTAGGTCCACATTCCTTGGTCCATATTCCTAGGAAGGCATAGTGACGCTGGGTCTGTGTATAACCTTGTGAGTGTTCCTGACCATCTTCCAGGTGAGATGCTGGTCTGTGTGTTCTTGCCCTTCCCCTGGGGTAGAGTCCTCCTGTTTTCCCCAGGTGTTTGCTCCCGCAGCTCCAGTGTTCTCCATCAGTGTCATCACCTTGCAGATCTGCTGCCCTGCCCTGCAGACTAAGGCTCTGATTCCATAAGAAAGACAGGCGAGCTGCTTCTCAATAGATCTTTGGTGTTACCATCTCAATTCCTGAGGCATTGAACAAGTGCACCTAGGATTCTGGTCTCAGTGACTTGCCCCTGCAGGGTAAATTCTTAGTTCTTTTGTGGGAATAAGGAAAATGGGTCTGAATACATTTCAGAAGTGTGGGCTCTTTTTATTTCCTAGACAGACACTTGGGGAAAGAAAGATTTTTGTGACTGTCCCCTTTCTTGGGGAAAGGGATTCAAGAGGATAGAATAGTTCTTGAGCATATGATCCCTTACAATTTCACACTACAACATGTTTACCACACACAATTTCAAGCAATCCAATATATATATATGTGTGTATATATATGTGTGTGTGTGTATATATATATTTTTTCTCTTGTAATAGGTTATATGTCATACTCCAGACTCTGCCATAGAAATATATAATTTCAAATCCTGTCTTTGTTACGCTCTACAAGAACTTGCTTCTCCTTAAACTCCAGATTTGTTGTTTGCTTGAAACTTTAAATATTGAAAGTGTTAAATAAAATTTTCAAAATTCCATCTTCTCTGTTTATCTGTTATTGTTGATGCAGTTGTAAAAACAAGAAAAATATATTCCTTTTCTATGTACATTTCCAAGCTTAATAGCAGACCTTTAGTTAAACCTAGAAAAATTTAAAAAATCAAATATTGTTCAGCTGCTTAATAGAAAAACAAATTATGGTAAATTTGTCTGCTAGAATACTACCCCATATTTATAATAAAAAAGTCTGTAACCAAACTGTCAGGTAAAGTATCTAATTGTTTATGTTAAGTAAAGTAAGCTAAATAAATAAGAATATATACTATGTTATTTCATTTATATACATTCTGATAAATTCAAATGAGTCTGCAGCAATGTATAGATCAGTCGTTGCCAGGGAAATAGGTAGAAGAAAGAAAGGGAAAAGGATAAAGAATATAGAAGAACAAAAGGAAATATTGAGAATTCTCTTGTCCACCTTGATAATGATGATGGCTCCATCATGTTTATCAACTGTACAATATAAATATGCAAAAGATTATTATATGTAAACTAAAACTTATAAAACTTATTACAAACAAACAAATGGATACTTAGACAAGAAAGGAACGATAGAAAGATACAAAAAGTGTGTAATAAATTTCAAAAATGACTAAGAATTTATCTGCCTATATCCTAGTTCTCACCATTTTTTAGGTGAATGCTAGAATGCAGCAAAAATCACACAAGTTCTCACTACAGAAATTGGGCTTCACAACCATCCTAGGCATCCCCAACTCTGTCCTGGAGTTGGTTCAGGGAGTAACTGGGGCCAGTGATGAGGAGCACAGGCCCAGATACCGGGGCTTGCCCATCCAGACATGAGCTCTTAGATACACCCTTAGCCCATTTTCCATGTGTGGTTTACTTTTATATCCGTACATAGAGAAACACTGTGACAAAACATAATTTACACATACATGTAAAAATAAAATAGGGTGATCAGTTCAAAGTGTTTATCACAGCATAATTTTATAAGACAGCATATTTTCCAAATACCATCATTGTCACCAAACCTCTGCAAGGCACAATCATCTTATCTGGGCCCTGTCCTCTCCTCAGGCGTCCCACCCCAGAGCTTCCTATAAAGTAGGAGACATGCAAATGGGGTCCTCCCTCTGCTGATGAAAACCAGCCCAGCCCTGACCCTGCAGCTCTGGGAGAGGAGCCTCAGCCCTGGGATTGCCAGGAGTTTCCACTTGGTGATCAGCATTGAACACAGAAGACCAGCCATGGAGTTGGGGCTGAGCTGGGTTTTCCTTGTTGCTCTTTTAAAAGGTGGAGAACTAGAGATACTGAGTGTGAGGGGACATGAGTGAGAGAAACAGTGGATATGTGTGGCTGTTTCTAATCATGATGTCTCTGTGTTTGCAGGTGTGCAGTGTGAGGTGCAGCTGGTGGAGTCTGGGGGAGGCTTGGTCCAGCCTGGGGGGTCCCTGAGACTCTCCTGTGCAGCCTCTGGATTCACCTTCAGTAACTCCTGGATGAGCTGGGTCCGCCAGGCTCCAGGGAAGGGGCTAGAGTGGGTTGCCCGTATTAAAAGCAAAGCTGATGGTGGAACAGCAGAATACGCCGCATCTGTGAAAGGCAGATTCACCATCTCAAGAGACGATTCAAAGAACACACTGTACCTGCAAATGAACAGCCTGAAAACCGAGGACACGGCCGTGTATTACTGTACTATAGACACAGTGAGGCAAGGTCAGTGTGAGCCCAGACACAAACCTCCCTGCAGGGGCGCGCGGGGCCACCAGGGGGCGCGCGGGACCCACTAAGGACGGGAAAGGTCCCAGGAGCAAGTGCTCGGGGAGGTTTCCTTTCTCCTCAGCTGGAAAAGTCAGGATTGTATTTGTAGAACTCTGGAGCATTCTAGGCTGTGATATTGTATTACTCCTATTTATTATGACTTTATTATCAATAGTATTTAATAACTATTAAAATTCTGTATATAAGTATTTTTAAGTATACACTTTCAAGAAATAAACATTCCTAATTATTTGCACTGATTTCTTTAGAGTTTTATTAACATTTGTTGACATCAGCAACTACATAACTATAGGGACATAAATCTATGGCCATAGAAATATGTACCCGCCAGGCGCGGTGGCTCGTGCCTGTAATCCCAGGTCTTTGGGAGGCCGAGGCAGATGAATTACTTGAGGTTATGAGTTCGAGATCAGGCTGGCCAACATGGCAAAAGCCCCTCTCTACTAAAAATACAAAAATTATCTGGTGTGGTAGCACACACCTGTAATCACAGCTACCCGGGAGGCTGAGGTAGAAGAATTGCTTGAACCCAGTAGACGGAGGTTTCAGTTAGTCGAGATTGTGCCACTGTACTCCAGCCTGGGCAACAGGGCAATACACCATCTCACAAAAAAAGAAAAAGAGAGAAAGATATATAAATACACAGACCTATACATATATGCTACGTATGCATATTAAACATTAAAATAAAATAATTCCAAAAATATATCCTGAAGACTCAAACTTAATGATGGACTAAGTGTAAATTATTAGAGTAATTCCTAATTGATTTCAGTTGTTTTTATTTGTTTACATGAATTGATTTCTAGTTGTTCATTTAAAAGTAGTATATTGATCATTTCAAAAGAGCTCAGAGTAAATTTCAAATGTCACAATAAATGATAAGAATTTGAGGTGTTTAATGACAGTTATCTTAATTCTTAATTATCATAGTTATTCCATATTACATTCACAAATCATAACATTGCTTCTTACTTTGTAAATACAAACAACCATAATTTATGAATTTAAAATAAATTTTAACTTTTAAAATTTATCCCAGATTATTATCTTTTCTTGTCTTCCAGATCTTATTGGATCATCTCAAGGGCCCACCCACACCCCTGTCTCCTGAAGGCTTCTGGGAGTGGCTGAGGGATGCGCAGAAGCAGGATCCCCGTGTGAGTCCACACGACCTGGAGCTTCCCTCTCCTTGGATTAGGCCATCTCCTCGGGATCACAGGGCTCTCCATTATCCTCACCTCGCTGTTGTACCAAACAAGCAACATCACACTTCACACACACTTTGTTTTAATTTTCCAAAATGACATGAAGGCAATAAATTTAACAGTAAGTTGATCAGAAGCTAATAGGTCGAGGCTTTTTTCATATACCAGGTTTCTTCTCAGGACTTTCCATGTGTTAGGTATTTTCCATTTCTTTATGAGATGACATACTAATATATCCACATTGGAGATTCTCCTTCTAAGTAGGCTCTGGGACACTCACTCCTTTTATAGTAATCACCATACAAGTCCCATATAGAAGGAGTTGGAAAATCCTGGGTAGAACCAAGATTGTGTACAGCCCTGTGGTCTTTAATGTCATGGAGTTAAAGTCAGTGAGAAACAGCTTTAGTTGTGCACGGTGACTGAATTTGCACATTACTCTAGCAAAGCGTCCTTCACATGACAAATATGAAGGTCAATTATTGGATTAATATGAATGGCATCACAGTAGGAAAACTGATGTCAAAACCTGACACCCTTTAAATTAAATTCTGTCTTATACAAGGTGGGGATGGATCGACACCCAAGTGAATGTTGCTCTTCAGGGCCCGGCACTTAGAAGAGCCCCTCCACGGCACAGCGAAGGCCTCTATCAATGTGGCTGCAATCACCACATTCAATGAGTTTTGTAGAATAATTCCTGAAGAAGTCAGCTGGAAGTGCCCTGAAATCTCACACCTTCTACATAGAGAACTCCAAAATAATTGTTATGTGCTTGAAAAACATGAACATGGAATTAGCACTAATGAGTTGTGACGATGAAACAGCTCTCTTCCAAGTTGTGGGTCTTTCTCTCCTGCCAGCAAAGTCAACAGGATCGCTTTCTTGTCTTCGACAAAGGAGTTACAACAGCTCCTTCTCTTCTGAGTCACAGGCTTGTGAAGTCTCTCCCCAACAGCTGGGTTGTCAACTACAATATTTCCTAAAAATAAATAAAATACTTCATGAAACTAAATTCAAGGGGAACAAAATCATTTTGTTTCCTTCATAATTTTTGTTTAAAGTGCTAACTAGTAAAGAAAGACTATTATATTTTATAAATTTGTATCTATAATTAATTATTTTGAAGGGGAAATCATTTATAGGGCCATTACATTGTCTTAAATAACACACGTAGTGTTTTAAAGATCAAATTGCCTCCAAATGCAGAAATACACACTATGAAAGCTCCAGAGAAGAGATGCCCCCCAAGGGTCATGGCAGTCTCAGGAAAGCCTGAAATCAGTCTCTCCCCCATTGCTAGGACAGGGCTCCAAACATGCAAATTACCCTTCAATCTCTTGGGTAAAATTTCACTCTCATGTTGTGGGAGCTGATGAATCTCTTCTCAGACAAGACAGAAAATCTCTGGAGAAGGCAGAGCTGTGGTCTCACAGAAAATGAGATGTGCATGTTGACAGCTACCCAAGGTGAGTGTTTCAGATGTCACACCTAGGTCTTTGAAATATTTGTGACTGCAGGTGACTGACAGGAACTGATTATCCTTGTCCCTAGGTATCCTGTCCCAGGTGCAGTTGCAGGAGTTGGGTCCTGGACTGGTGAAGCCCTCTCAGACCGTCTCCCTCCCCTGCACTGTCTCTGGTTTCTCCATAACAACCAGTGGCACCTACTGGCTTTGGATTCAAAAGCCACTGGGAAAAGGCTGCAGTGGCTGTGGGAGAAATAGGTTATTCTGGAGTCACCAAATACAACCCATCCTTCTGGAGCCACAGCAGCATCTCCTGTGACACACTGAAAAAACCGTTATTCCTCCAGCTGAGCTCTGTGACCTCTGAGGACACAGCTCTGTGTTACTGTGTGAGAGGCACATTGAGGGAACATCAGTGTGAGCCCAGACACAAACCTCCCTGAAGGATAGTGGAGCACACCAGGAACACTCAGGACACACCACGAATGGGGCCTAGACCCAGGGGAAGGTACACGTGGTGACATTTTTTAAGGTATTGTAATTTTCAAGTACTATTTAGAAAAAAAATATGCTTATTTTAGGGTATACATTAATCATGTCTTCATGACACTGCTTGAGGGATAGACACACAGATCAATGGAACAGAATAAGAGTGACTTTGGACAAGAACAGAAACTGTAAAACTTCTAAATATAGGGGACAAGCTCCAAGACAGTGGTCTGAGCAACAATTTTCTGGATATTATTGCCCAAACATAGGCAACAAAAGCAAAGATAGGCAAATGGAATTGCATCAGACTACAAACTTCTGCAGATCAAAGAAAATAATTAACAGAATGAAGAAACAATCCACAGGTTTGGCAAAAAATTTACAAAATTAGGCATCTGATAAGGGGAATGTATCCAAAATATATAAGAGAGCCAAACCACTTCATAACAACAACAACAACAAAAATGACAACAAGTGACCCTATTAAAAATAACCAAAAGATTTGAATATACATTTTTCAGAAGAGTAAATACAATTAGAAAATAGATACATAAAGAAGCTAAACATGATTAATAATTAGAGAAATTTAAATTTAATCCACAATTAAGTATCACCTCATAGATGTTACAATGACTATCTTCAAAGACATGAAAAATGACAAGTATCTTTGAGGAAGATGTGAAGAAAAGAGAATTTTTGCACACTGTTAGTGAAAATGCAAATTATAAGGTGATTATAAATAACACATAAAAGCCTTTCAAAAAATAGAAATAGATCTATGATAGTATCCAGCAATGCCACTACTGACCATGTATTTTTTAAAAAATGAAATCAGCATGTCAATGATATATCCACACATCCATATTCCTTGCAGCATTATTTACAATAGTAATAATATGGAAACATCTTAAATTCCCATCACTGGGTGAATGAATAAAGACAACAAGTATATACACATTGGAGTGATGTTCATCCTTTAAAAAAAAGGAAATTCTGCATTTGTGACAGCATGCATGAACCTAATGGACCTTAATTTAAGTGCAACAAACCAGACACAGGAATACAATAATTCCTAAGTTGACTGTAGTGTATTACATTGTAAAATCACAGAAATAGGGGGTAGAATGTTGGTTACAAGGTACTGGAGGGATGGACTGGGAAAGGGGAAGTTTTGATCAAAGTGTAAAATGTTCCAACTGGACAGAAGGAGTAAGTTATGCACAGACTAACAACAATACCCACAAGGTATTATATAGTTCAGAATTGCTAAAAATGTAGATATTAAAGTTTTTCCCACTGAGAAATGATAAAATTTTGAGGTGTTGGACATGTTAGGTAGCTTGGCTTACCCATTCCAAAATGTACACCTGTAGCAAAACTACGTATCATATTCCATAAACACATACAATAAATATTAGTCATTTCTCATTAAATAATTTTTATATTTAAATAATTGTATTAAGAAAACAAAGAGAACAGAGTACAATTGCAAGAATATAGTTTATACTTATGTGTCTTATCATGAATTTGCAAAATAATATAGAAAGAACATTTAACATTCAATAAAAAGACAATTCAACAAAAAGTGGTTTAAAAAAACAGTTGTACCATCACAGAAGATTCAGAAATGATACATAAGCATATAAAGAGTTTCACTCTCTTAAAATTAGAATTCCATATGACAAGCAACTCCTCCTGACCTGCCTGGGTGGGAGGCACAATAAAGAACGCTAATAGTGATTTACTGAGCTTTATAGCTGTGTGTTCATCTGTGCTCGCTAAGTGGAAGGAATGGAAAAGAAGAAGGAAAAAGCAAAGGATGTAAACGGGAAAAGAAAGGGGA